GACTTCCCAGAGCCCATACACGGTATAGCTTTTTAACAAACACAGTCCAAATATTCTCTTCTGTCAGCGTCCATATTCTTCCTAACCTGCTTCGCCAAAGTCCCTTATCCTAGAAAATTCTTGAAATTTGGAAAGCTAAATGATTGATCGATTGATTTGTTTGATATATCAAACCTTATCTGACCATCTCCCTCACAGAGGGATTCTGGGAGGTGTACGGTTTAATCAATAGAATAAAACATTAAAAACCAAATAATTTAAGATTTAAAAATTTGAAAAGTGCAACATTGGGGTGGATATTTTTTTTAGAAGTGGATAATTAGGGCCAAAAGTGGAACACGTCAAGGCATACAGTGGCCGATGGCAAAAAGCTGCTGAAGAAGAGATTTCAGAGCATGAACAGAGTGCTGATGATCTTATCCTGAATTCACACAACCCCAGGAGACCTTTGCCAGTTACTGTATTAAACCACCTTTCTGTTCAAGATCAGTCCTTTCCAGCCACACCAGTCGTTGAAATATTCTTTGAATACACAGCTGTACCTTGGCATATCAAGTAAAACCTGGTTTGTCATTTCTCTTTACAGAACCAGGCCAAGTGCGATGGAGTGCCTCTCTCATCCTTGGTTTTCTGTAAGTTTTGATCGCTGTTGAAGGACTGGAAGAATCAGATTTTGATGCTCATCCCCCTTTTCCCCTAATCTGGACATCAGAGATGTCTGTGAGGGAGGAGAGGTCAAAAAAGTCAAGATGGCAGCCCACGAAAATCGCTCAGTTGCAATTTTCATATTAATTTTGTAACCTCCCCAATTTGGAGGCTGCCTTTGCTAAGACAATCTATGTCAAAGTGTTGGCTTTTCTCAAAGTGTGTAACTCACAGAAGAAAGATAAAGGAATAATGGTGTCTTTTGACCTGGTGGCTTGGGGTTTTTTTCCCCTAAAAATGAACAAATCCAGACAAATCTGGTTTTCAAATAAATCAGGATGTTTGCTGGGGTGTTTGAAGATATGAATCTATTTTCAAACTGGTAATATTCCTTTTCAGCACAAACCCACACCTGAAGAGGGTCATTTTATCGAGACAAAACCGCTCAACTTTTTTGTATCCCGAAGCAAATGGCAGGTTAGTAAGAGGCTCTACCAAATTGCACAATTATTTTGGCTTCACTAGTCTTGGTGTTTTGGGATCTGCTATATGCATTGTTACGTACGTTTTACAATTTTAATTTTAGAGATAGAATATATCCAATACAGATCCTGCTGTTTATTCCTAAGAAAGCTGGCAAACTTGGAAAGAGATTAATTTAGATTTTAAGTGCACCTTTAAATGTTCTTGCAAGGTTCCTTGTCCCATGTACCTGTATTAACAGCAAGCCCCAAGGTAGCATTTATTAACTTTGGCATCTTTAAGACACGTGGACTTCAACTCCCATGATTGGGAAGCTGAAGTCCAGATGTCTCTAATATTGCTAAGGTTGAGAAGCGTGGCTTCTAAAAAGCTGCTATTTATTTATTTTTACTATTCTCTACTATTCTCCTTCATTAATATAAGTAGTTCTCGACTTACAACCACAATTCAGCCCAAAACGTTTGTTGCTAAGCAAGACACTTGTGATGTGAGTTCTGTCCCGGGTCCCTTCCAACTCCATGATTTCTAGGTTCTGTTGTATTCTGTTTGTTTGGGCTGTCCTAATTTTTCTCTTTTCCACTGTTTTAATCTTCCTCTTCTGTCCTTCCTTTCATATCCAGCGGTCTCTTATGAGCTATAAGTCGTTGCTCGTGATGAGGCCCATCCCAGAAATTCTGGAAAAGCATCAGAAGAACACCTCGCTTGGCGTCTCCCGACAACTGGTCGAAGAGAGCAGTTCCTCCAGCACCAGTGGGTCATCTTCGGACAATGAAATTTTGGTCTCTTCTGGAAAAAAACCTTTCGGAACCATTCCAGAGGTTCATCTATCTGTGCTGGAAGGCTCAATCAATCAAGAAGACAACGTATTTGAAGTTTTGAAGTCCAAACTTCCTGATGACTCCATGCCACCCATCAAAACCAGAAGGTTGAAGGAACCTTCGGCCAAGGGACAACCTTCCCAAGAACTAGAAATCTCTGAGGCTGACGCCCATGGAAGAACATTGTTTGAGCTGGCTTCGTTGCAAGATCAAACTGGATTGTTGCCTCCAGAAGAAGGAAGAATAGAACGATCTCCAGGTTGTGTCCCGAGACACAGCGTCATCAAAAGTACTTTTTATAGCCACCCATCGGAAAATCTGACCGATTTCCCTTCCTCTCCAGGAAAAGGGCAAAGAAAACAGTTAGAAAAAGCTAAGAGATCTTACAGGAAAGCCGGTTACTCAAAGTCTGCTTTAACCGGTCTACGGGAACCCTTGCTAGAACAGTTTGAACTTGGTGGAGAAGGAGGACCATTGGCGGATGCAGTATTGGGGAAGGAACGAGAAGGAAGTTATGGACCCCCAATCACCAAGTCAGCTTCTTTTGATACTGCTCAGAAATCTCCCAAGGTGACTTTCCAGGTATCTGCCAGGAGCCGTTCTTTGGATGACTACAGAATAAGAGCTGGGAGCTTCGCTGAGGAGCAGGAGATCGCAGAAGAAGACTTGGACACCATGCTGCAGGGTAGTCCGGCAGAAGGAACTCACGTGAGGGACGAAAAAACATCAGCAGCAAAAGCTAGGGAGGGTTTTTCTGAAGAACACCCGAAATTAGTCCCACTGGATGACAAGGAAAGATCCAAGTTGGGCCTTCAGCAGGACAAGAAGGCCTTGATTTTGGCACGGGGCTCTGAAAAAGAGGAAGATTTACTTCAGAAAACGAAGGTGCCACATTTTGTGGGAAAATCTCCTCAAGGCAGAGAAGATCTGATTCTAGAAGCTCAGACATCTGGGTTGGCTTCAAAAACTGGCATTGGGGAGGAGCAGACATCCATGTCTTCCCCTCACAGGGATGGACGAACACCAAGTTCTCCCAAGAGTATTGAAGGATGTCACCCTCAGCAAGGAGGAAGTCTTCATCTTCTGAAATCTTCTGTTCCTTTGCCCATCCCCCATGTTCAGGCTGAGAAACAGCTTGCTGGTGCTCCAGACCTACGGACTGTGCCAGTGTGTGAAGGCCATCCATCCTTTATTTATCCTGGGACACAAATGGTGGAGAGTAGAGGTTTAGGTCCTCCTATTTTGCACCCTGACATTTCTGCCTCCTCTACCCTTGAGGAACAGCAGATCCCACCCCAGAAGCCCCCAGGATCCCGCTTGGCCAAGTCAGCCCTGCTAGAGAAGAAAGGTCTGGAGAAGGTGGACATCCCTCAAGCAAAAATGGCCACACCTTCAATCTCTGAGAGTGCAAAGCAGAAGCCTTTACATCAGTTGCCCGTTGCACACCTGGAAAGGAAGCTACCTGTTGCAAAAGGTGAAGGTCCCGTTCATCCAGAAATTGTCGCTCTGGGAGGGAGCCAGCACCCGTCACAACGAGAGTCTCCTCTTTACAGAAAACCGTCTCCTACTACCCCAAGAAGTTCTGCTGCTCTGAGGCAAGGCTCTTCCCAACCAGGGTCCACCCCAGAACCCATGCTTCATGGAGAAATCCAGATGGCCTCACTTCCAAAGTCCTCTGCTTACCCAGAAGGAGAGGTTGCTTATCTCAGAGAGGTTCAGCGTGCTCCTCAAGCCCAAGCAGACCTGATGTCCTTCTTTGAAGCTGAGAAGTATGAGCTCCACCACCTGCCGTCTGCTCCTGGTGAGGCCCTCAAGGGCCAAACACCCGCCGTTGCAGGCTTTTCCCAAGCGAAAATGAGGCCGTTTGCAACCTCTGGAGAAAAAGTCTCCGTAACTCAAATGAAAAGACCGTATTCCATTGGAGAAGACAGAAGCCATGGGCAGAGACTTTACAGGGACTCAGAGGCTCACGTTCTGGAGAACTTAGTGGAGCAGATGGCTTACCAATCAGAAGCAACACCTCCTTGGCCAGAGACACCCCAGGAGGAAATGCTCCATCAAATGCCACCTGGCCAAGTGGTGAGACCGAAAAGCAGGTACCTAGTGCGCAGAGGCAAGAGAGAAGGTGGCATTGGCCTAGCAGATCCTTCAGAAGCTGACATCATCTACCCTGGAGAAGAAGACTATTTCAGCCTTCAGTCTTACCTGGGCAAGAAAGCCAGGATGTCTTCTTCTTACGAAGGCTTGGATTATCCAGGAAGTAGTCGGATGTATGAAATTGCCCTCGTGCAGATCCAGGATCTCTCGGCGATGCCCCGTCGTGACAGCAAGACCTCCAAATTTGATATCACGGAGGTGGAACCAGCTTTCCTCAACCTTCATGAACTCTACGACATTGTCTACTCTCCGTTCGAGTTCCTGAGTTTCAGGAAAGCTCCTGAGAATTTGCCCAGCAAAAGGCCACCTGGATCCAAACTCCCTTCTCAGCAGGAGAAAAAAATGGGTCTCAGGGAGGATCATTTGCCTGAGGTGGCCCTCAAGGAACATTCTGGAGAAGAAGAGACAGGTGCCCTCAAAATGGAGGTGGGCCCCGAAGCAGCCATAGCACCGAGGATAGGGAAGAGGTCTGACTCGGAAGGTGATCTACCGATGGGGTCCCAGTATGATCTCCCATCAGATCCAAGGAGGAAGAGGAAGAGTTCTCTCCAGAGTGCCTTAGGACTTTTCAAGCCGGTTTCCCGCTCTCAGTCCATGGAGCATGTGGAGCTCAGTCTGAGGAAGAGGATGAAGGCATCTGTAGCTCAGTTCTCGAAGATGTTGACCAGGAAACTGTCCAGTGAAGACACCAGAACAGGTGATGCTTATCTTCCTTGGCTGACATGAGCCAAAGAAAATGTAAAAGCATTTTTAAATCCTTCTTCAGGAGAATGAGCTTAGGGCATGAGTCCAAACCAAAAACAAACAACACAATCACAATTTTCCTGACAGATTTAACTATTTCGCTCCTGTAAAGATTTTTGATGTGGGCTGTTCTGGCCCAAAATTATAGAATTAAGGAGAACTTTCCTATCTGTGGGAGCCACTAATTAGCTTCCCTCCAGGAGTTGTGGGTGCTCCATCACTGGAGGTCTTTAAGAAGAGAGTGGAATGGTAGAGGGTCTCCTGCTTGAGCAGGGGGTTGGACTAGATGACCTCCGAGGTTCCTTCCAGCTCTAGGATTCTTCAAAATTTCAGGTTTTTTAGGTGTCCCAGCCTGCTTTAGGTGTCTCATCATAACCAAATCTCCAAAACTAACATATCCACCGAAAATGTCCTCAGGATCATTACAGAAGTAGAGATATCCTGATGCAGAAATGGATGCTAGGATTGACCGAGAGACAACTCAATAGTGGAAAAGGGGGAATATATTTATTTATATATCAAATGTAGAAACAGTGAAGGAGAACCTCAAAATTACTTGGCTGGATTCTGGATAGAGAGATCGCTCGGGGTGCTTTTAAAAGCCTGTTGTCATATCCTACAACGATAAAGTAGCATTCCTGGGGTTTTTGTGGGGTCTGTTTTAATCTTCCTCAAAGGGTTGACAGGTAGCTATCAATTCTGGTCTCAATCCAGCTTCTTAAAAACACTTCAAGTTATTTCTGAAGGACATACTGGTTAAGAGAGATCCTAAAAGAGCATCAGTCTTCAAAATTTGTACCTTTAAGACTTATGAACTCCAATTCCCAGAATAGCGATAGCACTTAGACTTATAAACCGCTTCACGGTGCTTCTACGGCCCTCTCTAAGCGGGTTACAGAGTCAGCCTATTTGCTCCCAACAATTTGGGTCCTCATTTGACCCACCTCGGAAGGACAGAAGACTGAGTCAATCTTGAACCTGGTGAGATTCGAACTGCCAAACTGCTGGCTCCCGGTGATCAGCAGAAGTAGCTTGCAGTGCTGAACTCTAACCACTGCGCCACTGCAGTTCATGCCACTTAACGTGTAGGGAATGAACAGGGTAAACTTGAAGTGCTAATTCATGAGGTTAGGTATGATACAGTTTCCATTACAGAAAGTTGGTGGAAGGAAACTCATGACTGAAATGTACTGGTAGAAGGAACAAACTTTTCAAAAGAAAAAGACCTAACAAAAGAGAAGGAGTTGTAATTATGTTAGAGAACACTTCCTCTCTACAGAGATGCACAAAATCAAGGAAGCAATGGGTGGAAACTAATCAAGGAGAGAAGCAACCTAGAACTAAGGAGGAATTTCCTGACAGTGAGAACAATTAATCAGTGGAAGAGAAGTTGCCTCCAGAAGTTGTGAATGCTCTCCAACACTGGAAGTCTTTAAGAAGATGTTGGACAGCCATTTGTCTGAAGTGGTCCTGCCTAAGCATGGGGTTGGACTAGAAGACCTCCAAGGTCCCCTTCCAACTCTGTTATTCTAAGAATTCTAGGAGTTGAAACCCAGAAGAAAAGGGAGAGACTTGGCTGGCTGAGGAATTTCTGGGAGTAGAAATTCACAAGTCTTAAAGATGCTAAGTTTGGAGGTTTCTGCAAAACGGAATGGATCTCCTGGCTGTGTCTTCTCCTTACACTTTTGGTGGTCCTCTTATTTTCTAGCCTCTGAGGAAGTCAAGAGCGAGCAAGCTGAGAGGACCTCCCTGACGGAGCCTTCTCCAACTTCCAAGAAGAAAAGGATGTTCTCCGCATTCACCTTGCCAAGCCTCAAGACCAAGGACAAAGGTATAGCCACCACGGGAGAGGGAAACAGAAGGAAGGTTGGGAGGTTGGAGTGGAGAAGGGAGGGTTGAAGGGAGGATTTGGGTCCTGGGTTCGGTCTCTGCCTTCTGGCTTTATTTTTAACCATTAACGCCCAATAGTGTGGGGGGTCTTTGGTTTAGAAATGCACTGAATAATAAATAAATATTTGGAAAGGAGGGAGGGGAAATAGGAAGGAAGGAATAGCAATAGCAATAGCAGTTAGACTTATATACCTCTTCATAGGGCTTTCAGCCCTCTCTAAGCCATTTACAGAGTCAGCATATTGCCCCCAACAACAATCATTTCACCCACCTCGGAAGGATGGAAGGCTGAGTCAACCTTGAGCCGGTGAGATTTGAACCGGTGAGCTGCAGATAACAGTCAGCTGAAGTGGCCTGCAGTACTGCACCCTAACCACTGCGCCACCTCGGAAAAGGAAATAGGAAGGAAAGAAAAGGAAACTGGAAGGAAGGAAAGGAAGGAAGAGCAATAATAAAACCAACCCCAAAATTCATGTCTGCTGCATTTTGCCCCAGAAGTAGTTCTGAAGAGTCTTTCAAGGGTCGCCCCATGTAGCAAACGTCATAGCAGTCTAGCCACAACTTCTAAAAAAAGGGCTGGAAAGTTCATCTTTCAGTTCTCACGCTTCTGGACTCTGTTCCTAATTTTTGACATTAGTTTGGAAAATCCAAGTGAACGTTCTTAGTTCGATTTGGCTTGGCCGGTAACAGGTCGGATGAGTCTCACCAGAAGCAAAACCAGCATATTTTCAGAATCAAGACGTCAGATTTACTCACAAGCCCATGATGCACAACTTGTCCCTTCTCCTCTCCAGGACCTTCTTTCACAGAAGATCTCACTGACCAGACAGTCGCCATCGGACAATCCCTGACCCTCTCCTGCCGGACCTCGCCTCACTCCTTCTCCAGCATCGAATGGCTCAAAGGTACCGTATAGCTGCTCATATCGGGGAGGAGAGGTTGTCAGGATCTTCCCTTTCTCTAGGCGGGTCCCTGGTCATCTCCGGGCTCCTTTTTCCAACCCCTCCTTTCTGCAGGTTGACAACAACACAGCTGGGGGGTCTTTGAAGCTCCCTGAGTTGCTTTTCTTGCAGACATTTCATTGCCAAACTAGGTAATATCATCAGTGCTAGAAAGTGCTCAACCATTGGACAGGGGACACATTTTGCTACCATCTTGCCTGCTTCCTTTAAAGCTTTCTGGGGTTTTGAGAGGGGTTGTGGGGTGCTTTGGATCACAGGCAAAAGGGGGCTTTTGGCGGATGTGAGGATGCTTAAGCAACATTTTGCAGCTCCTCAAAGCCAGGGGGTATTTTCACCCAGGGTGGGGTTCACAGCCCTGTGCAATTCCCCTGGATCCTGAGAAAAGATGTGTTTGGTTTAAGGTCCTGCAGATGTTCCTCTGGATGCTTTGAAACTCCGCTTGGAAACCAAATGCTGACCGTTCCTCTAAAGGGAGGCCTTTTGCCCCCCCCCAAAAAACCTCCTCTTTTGTCCAATGATGTTTCCAAGCGACATTCCTTATATAAATAGTCCTCAACTTAATGGCCATTCATTTAGCAAACAGGAAAAGGAAGGGAGGGATGGAGGGATGAAGGAAGGAAGGAAAAAGGAGGGGGAGGGAGATGGGAGGGAGGGAAGAAGGGAGGGAGGGAGAGAGGAAAGAAAAAGAGGGAGGAGGGAAGCAAGCAAGCAAGGAAGGAAGGAAAAAGGGGAGGGAGGGAGGATTGAAGGGAGGGGAGGGGGGAGGGAAGGAAGGAAGGAAGGAAGGAAGGAAGGAAGGAAGGAAAAAGGGGAGGGAGGAAAGAAGAAAGGAAGGAAGTTCAAAGTTACAGCAGCATTGAAAAGTCCTTAGTGACTTATGGCTGGTACTAACACTTGCAACAATTGCAGCATCCCCAAGGTCACATGATCAAAATTCGGGCAGTCAACCACCACCAGATTTGTTTAATGACTGTGTGGTTCACTTAACAACTGCTGCAATTCACTTAACAACTGTAGGCAAAAAAAGATCATGAAACCGGGCATGGCTCACTTAATGGCCTTGCTTAGCAGCAGCGATTTCGATCCCCATTGTGGCCATAAGTCGAGGACTACCTATAATTTGTGGGACTCCTGATTCCAGGCATTCCAAAGAAATTGACCTTCCATTTTAGGCAGTCGGCAAGTTCCTGGCAACTTTCTTTTTATCGCCTTTCAGACGGAACAGCAATTTGCAGCACGGATCGGATCCTGATTTCTTCGACTCTAAAACGGTTCCAGCTTTTAACCGTGTTATCGGCTACAGTGGCGGACTTTGGCGTGTACACCTGTAAGGCTACTAGTTCCCACGGTGCCGTTTCCACCTCCTGCACCATAAGGAAAGCAGGTAAAAGATGGTGTCCTTCCCTCTTGCACCCCAGGATCCAAGAAGGCTGCAACCTCTCACCCCATCTGCACCCCTTGTGGGTCCAAAAATGGGAACATAGAAGAGATTTAGGGAAGGAAAAATTATCTCTCCTTGTGCAGCCTTTTTGCTCTTAAATATCTCCCCAAAACATAGGGTATTAAGGGGCATTTCACCCCATCAGCTTCCTCTCAAATCACCCCCTCTCCCCCTGGCCCCATTGTTTGTGTTTCTTTTCCACCAGTTCTGTCTTGTATTTGTTTAGTTATCTGTTTATACTCTGCCCATTCATGCATCTCTAATTCTCCACCTCTTTCCCTTTCCATTCATCTGAATTCATGTCTGTATTTATCTGTCTGTCTATCATCTATGTCTGTCTTTCTATCGATCAATTATTTCTTCTCTTTTTCTCTCTGATCTATATATCATTTATTTATCTATCTGTCTGTCTCTATCATCTGTCTGTCTGTCTCTGTCTGTCTCTACATTTTTTTTTTTTTTTACATTTTATTGACATTTATAGGCCGCCCTTTTCCCTAAGGGGACTCAGGGCGGCTTACATTTCATAGGAGGGGAGTGTAAGACAGGACACAAAAGAAATGTGAATAAAGAAAAATAACCAATAAAACACAACATTCATTTGACATTTGGGCGGGGCGAGATTAGGATCTTATCCCCAGGCCTGACGGGATAGCCAGATCTTGAGGGCTGTGCGGAAGGTCTGGACGGTGGTGAGGGTGCGAATCTCCACAGGGAGATCGTTCCAAAGCGTCGGAGCTGCAACCGAGAAGGCTCTCCTCCGCGTAGTCGCCAGTCGGCACTGACTGGCGGATGGAATTCGAAGGAGGCCTACTCTATGCGATCTGATGGGACGAAGGGAGGTAATTGGCCGAAGGCGATCTCTCAAATAGTCAGATACACTACCATGAAGGGCTTTATGAATGGTGAGTAGCACCTTGAAGCGCACTCGGAGATCAACAGGTAGCCAGCGCAGCTCACGGAGGATCGGTGTTATGTGGGCGAACCGCGGTGCGCCCACAATCACTCGCGCGGCTGCATTCTGGACTAGCTGAAGTCGCCGGATGCTCCTCAAGGGCAGCCCCATGTAGAGCACATTGCAGTATTCCAGCCTAGAGATCACAAGGGCTCGAGTGACTGTTGTGAGAGCCTCCCGGTTCAGGTAGGGCCGCAACTGGCGTACCAGGCGAACCTGGGCAAATGCCCCCCTGGTCACAGCTGACAAATGAGGGTCAAAAGTCAGCTGTGGGTCCAGGTCCCTCCCTCCCTCCCTCCCTCGCTCCCTCCCTCCATATATATCCATCCATCCATCCATCCATCCCAACAAAACCTTTCCTCCTCCTCCTCTCTGCAAACACCATTCCTATTTACCACTGATTATGTTACCTAATTGGGTCAAGAACAACAACATTATTCTATCAACATCATGCCTCTTTCGTAATGAAAAAAAACCCCATTATTTTAAACAGAAGACATTGCAACTGGCGTTAATGATGGATGTTCTCCTGGTGAGACCAGAGTTCTGGAGGTGCAGCTGGGCTGAAAATAACCTTTCACAATCCTTCAAGTTGTTTTCAAGTGTGTTTTCGAAATCATACGCACCCACATTGGGATTAACAATGGTTTTCTATTCTGCCAGAGGCACCTTCAAACATACCTGCCCCTGATATCCTTGAAGTTCTTGAAGATGGTGTACGGCTGGCCTGGGAAGCGATGGAACTCACCGACCCAGTGACTTACACCGTTCTGTGCAAGAAGAATGGTAGGCAGCTTCGCTTTCACAGGTAGTCCTCAACTTACAACTGCAATGGAGGCCAAACTTTCTGTTGTTCAGCAAGGCAGTTGTTAAGTGACTTTTGTCCCATTTCACACCCCTTTCAATGCTGCAAAGGTTGTAAGTGTGAAAACAGTCATAAGTAGTTTTTTTCAGTGCTGTTGTAACTTTGAATGGCCACTAAATGGTTGTAAGTTGAGGACTACCTGTATCGCCTACATCCAGCTGACTTTCGAGGCCAAAGTGGGACCAGAACTCACCATCTTCCTGCTTTATTAATATTTTTTATTAATTCATTGTTAAATATGAATAGTTTTCCTCCTCTTTTCTCTTCTTCCCAAGATGGAGAGTGGAAAACCCTGGTCAGTGACATCCAGGATTGCTGTTACACGGTGGAGCACCTTCCTCGGGGTTTGGTCTACTCCTTTCGCATTGCCTGTGTGAGCCCGGCCGGCGTGGGTCCCTACAGCTACCCAACTCCCAAAGTGAAAATTGGTGAAGAAGATCAAGCAGGTATTCATTTTCCCAATTGAGGGAGGCAATATCTGGAGCCCAGGGTTGGAACGAGGGGCCCTTCGTGCTCTCTGAGTTTGGTGGATTTCTTGCAGGCGTTTCGTGACCCAACTAGATAATGTCATGAGTGTCAGGGAGTGTGGGCATTTGCTCCCTTTATAGATGGAGTGGCTTATCCTGGCACCATTGCTGGGAGTCTGGGTTCCCGCGCGCCCCCAGGTCAGTGATAGCTAACCTTTCTTTTTGTAAAGAAATGTTTTCCCCCTTTCAAATCCATTCGTACATGTGCATTCTTATCATTATAAGATAGCTAAACTTTCTGTCGTTGCCTGCCAAAAGTGCGCACACACATGACATTGTTCACACGTGACCCCCCCATGCACCACCCGTGTGACCCTCCCATGTGTCTTGCCTCCCGTGCATGTGCACACAATAGCAATAGCAGTTAGACTTATATGCCGCTTCATAGGGCTTTCAGCCCTCTCTAAGCGGTATACAGATTTTTGGCAAATTGAGTCAGCAAATTGCCCCCACAGTCTGGGTCCTCATTTCACCCACCTCGGAAGGATGGAAGGCTGAGTCAACCCTGAGCCGGTGAGATTAGAACCGCTGAACTGCAGATAACAGTCAACTGAAGTGGCCTGCAGTACTGCACTCTAACCACTGCTCCACCACAACCACTCTGCCACCCACACCAAGTCCGCACATGCACACATGACCACCCACATGCTTCCCTTTCCAAAGAATGCGCCCTGCACATGCACATGTGACCCCTGAGCTCCACCCACCCCCTCAGACATGTGACCCCTGATGCGCCCCAGTCCCCACGCATGTGTGCACGATCCCTCACATGCGCATGTGACCCCCCATGCTCCCCAACCCCATGCATTGGTGCATGACACACATGTGCACCCTGCGCATGCACATGCATCTCCTGCATGCTCCCTGCCCTGTGCATGCACGGCAGGGACTCAATAACCAGCTGGCTGGCAGGTGGTGTGTGCGCATGCACAGTGGAGCTCAGCTGTGTGTCAGCTTGCGTGCCTGCAGAGAAGGCTCTGTCTGTCCCCTGTGGTACCTGTGGCCATCGGTTTGCCATCATGGCCCTAGACAATTCCTTGATTAGGGTATTTTTTTTTTGCTGCTTGATTGTTTGTCTGGTGTTAATCCATGCTTATCTGGGTTTCTCTTTCTGTGTGACGCTTGCTTCTCTCTGAGTTTGGGGCTCAACTCATTACCAAACTAGGTAATATCTTCAGTGAATGAATGGAACATCTGCAAGGCAACAACCAAATTCTGCGAGCACCAACTCTTCTCCTCCTTCTCCTCCTCCCCACAACACCCACCTCCCTTTTAGTATTGAGCTGTAACCTAATCGGGTCATGGAAAGAGCCAAACTCAGAGGGTCAATAAAAATAGTCCATAGTCCTCCTCCTCCATTCTACAAACCCCACTCCCTTCTAGCATTGATATTGTTCCCTAACTGGGTCATGAAACGTCCAGAGGAAAACAACCATCCTCAGATTCATTTTCTCCAAAGTGAATTTTAACACTGACTTGTTTAAAAAAAAAATTATTATACATTTATTGTTACATTTATATGCCACTGCTCTTAGCAATAAGACTGACTTGCATCTGAATTCACCAACGAGAATGCATTGCCCAGACAACCTACCATTTTGTTTCTTGATCTGGATCAAAGTTAGATGCTTCCTCAAGCCCCAGGAAAAACTGGAGTTCTTGGAGGAGATTAACTACAGGTAGTTCTTGACTTACGACCACAATTGAGCCCAAAATTTCTGTTGCTAAGTGAAACATTAGTCAAGTGAATCCCCCCCCCAGTTTATGACCTTTCTTGTCCCGGTTGTTAAGTGCGTCACTGCAGTTGTTAAGTTAGTCAGATGGTTCTTCCCCTTGCTTGTCAGAAAGCCACAAAAGTTGATCAGCTGACCCCAGGACACTGCAGTCGTCATAAATATGAGTCAGCTGCCAACCATCTGAATTTTGATCCTCGCGGGCATGCCGCAACGGTCATAAGTGTGAAAAGCGGTCATATGTCCCTTTTTTAAGTGCCATTGTGTCTTCGAATGGTCCTTAAACGAATAGTTTGTAAATTGAGAACGACCTACCTGTATAATCCAAAGGCCCAACACTAACTGGGTCCTAACACGCAATGCAAAAGGATTAGGGTTAAGGATAATAATTGTAATAAAATCAGGATTATTGTGAGTGATGGAGACTCTGGGCTGCCCGGCCAGAGTCCTGGGACTCCTCCCTCCTGGGAAACTAACTTTAGCGTCAGAAGGTTGGTGTTATGTTTAGAGAACTTTATCTACTGCACGCGATAACCATGTTTTAATTTAGAATTTGTCCTTTCTTCCTGCCCTCTTTCAGCATTTCAAGCTCAGGAGGAAGAGAATCGGATGGCAGCTCCACCAACACACCAGACCTATGCCTTCCAGACCGAGATTAAAAGGTACGCATATCCAGGTGGTCCCTGACGTATGACCACAACTGAGCCCAAAATTTCTGCTGCTAAGTGAGACCTTTGTTAAAGGAGTTGCGCCCCATTTTACAACCTTTCTTGCCAAAATTATTAAGTTGAATCACTGCAGTTGTTAAGTGAATCTGGAGTCCCCATCAACTTTGCTTGACAGAAGTTTGCAAAAAGATGATCACCTTTTTGCAAAAGGTGGGATTGTCCTAAAAATTAGTCAGTTGCCAAGCATCTGAATTTTGATCACATCTAGGGTGACCAGACGTCCCGCATTTGGCGGGACAGGCACGCCTTTTCATAAATTTTCCCGCGTCCCGCGCCATTCTTTAAAAAACCATGCTTTTTTGAGCGCTGGCAGCTCCCTCGCTCCCCCACCCATCAGCTGCTAGCTCGCTGGACTGGCTCATCGTTTCGTTCTATCCTACAAATTTAAGCCAGCCCAGCCTGCCGCTAACTGATTGGATTGGCCTGGACTCCGGAAGGAAGAAGGAAGAAATAGGAAAGGAGGGAAGGAGGAAGGAACAGAAGCGAAGAGGAAGAGAGAAATGG